TCAAAATTCTTTCACCAATATTCTTAGAACTCTTCCCTCTACAACATATCAGAAAATGAACAAGATCTGACGACCTCGATTGAACAGCCTCGGTCGTGGCTTACACGAACTGGCTCATATAGATAATTGATTCAAAAATGATTCTATCAAATAGCTAGCAAGACCGGTTTCAATAAGTGCTGATATTATACTTATCAATTGCTTTTTGATTAAATAAATAATATCTCCTATTGTAAATATGATAGTCAGAAGTTTAGAGAAAACTCCTAAGCTCATCATACTTACAAGAATATATTATCGGGTAACTCGTTTGAGAACAAGTACCCAACAAAGTTTTTTTGAAGAGAATACTCCGACAAATGTTTTTCTTACGATATCATTTGATAATAATTGGTCAACAGTAGAATGGAGGTTTTGTTTTTGTTCAGATGGTTGTAATGGTGAATTATCATATTGACTATGGTTTGTTGTGTTTGTTCTGAAATGTAAATAATCAAATAGGTATAGTTTAGATAGTTTCCTTTTATTTGGATATATATATGTATGAGTTACTCACAATGATTGCTCGGAAGCTTCAGGTAAGTTGTGGTGATTGTCTTTCGCAGACATAGCTATGTATATATATATATCTAGAAAAAAATGACACAGTGTGATATATCTATTTTGATGCGAAAACATTTTCAATGAAAGGAAAGAAAAGAGAAAAATAGACAGGTCTGAACTGCAAGAAGATGTGATTTCATAATTTAATAATTAAATTTCATAGCGACAAATATGAAAAATGAAAGAATGATTCAGAGTCTAAGTGTTATACATGTGAAAAACAAACAGAAACATGAAGAAATACAGTATTTATCATATAATTGAATCTAACGCAAATACAAAATCATGATTTTATACAAAAAAGTTATTGAGGCAGAAGAGAACAAACACAATAGGTACATTTTTTACAAGTGGTATCAGTAACAGGATGATACTTATTTATGAGGAAGTTTTGTTGTTGATTGTTGTTCGTACAGCTTCTATAGTTGGTTGCATAATGGTCAACATGTCACGTTTTGGTTTTTTGTGAATCAAGAGACTTTGCAATGTACGATTTAAGATAGTACCAAGAATAAGTCGTGTATTTTTGAGACGTGATCCTGGATAAACATAGTATTTTTTCCAGATTCGACGAAATTCTTTTTTGAAATCTAATAGTGGTTCATTTTCAAAGGTATGATGTGCATAAATCTGATCTTGGGTGGGTGTGGGTGTGTATCATGAAAAACAAAGCCACGACTAGTTGCGACCTTTCTCAAGGGTCTCATCAGGTAGCTTTAACTCTGCATAGCCTCAGAGAACTAAACTTGAAAGGAAAATTCTATGTGAAACAGAATACCTCCAAGATTTAATTCACTATGTTCGAAAAAAAGCGGGGTGTGGGTGGGTGTGGGTGTGATAGTAGAGTGATTTTTCTAAATGAAAATCAAATCAAGAGCTAGCAAGACGCGTTTCGATTCCAGCTAAAGTAATCTTATCAATTGCTGATGATTTTGTTATTGTCTCCTACTATGTTAAACTAGTGAAAGAAGTTTATGGTTAAACTCCTATTCGAAATAGTAGAACATAATAAATTATTATCGGAAAGTTTTGACGAAAGAATACTTTCAATAATAAGTTAAGAGATTCTCCAACATTTTAGCGCTGTTGCTGTGACAGTTGCTGTTGTAGTTCGTGTTGTCTTAGGACTTGGTACTGCTGTTGTCATTTTTGCTGTTCTTCAGCTTGTTGCAATCGCTGATATCGTGGTTATCGGTTGTATATTTGTTGCCATGGCAGTGCTCTTTGTTTGTGTTGTCTTCGTTGGCGCCGACGTTGTTGTTCTGTTCGTCGTGCTGCTTGTCTCTTCGTTGCAATATCATTTTGCTGATGGCTCGGTATTGTGTCGTTTGGAGTTGCAATGGTAGTTGTGGCGCTCATATCTATTGTTGATTGATTTGTCCTTTGGGTATCAGTAGATAACATTTGGTCAATAGTAGAGTTATTTTCGTGTTTCGATCTGTTGGTTGTAATGAAGTATCATCAATTTGACTGTGGTTGGTATTAGTTCTTAAAAACCGTGAATTAAAAAATTGGGACAGTTTGAGGATTTGTATTTGTTTTCTTTTGTCATAATTATGAAATAGTTAGTACGATCGCTGGAACGTTGCTGTTGCGTCTTTAAGGTTATTGTTTGTAGACATTGTATTGGTCAATGTATATCTAGAATATATGATACAATGAAATACTTGTACGTGGGACACTACAAAAGTTTTTCATTAGCCTTTAGGATAAATATTCACAGGAGGATTTTAATTTATTTTTTCAAAGTACTGTCCTTCAGTATCAATGCATTTATGCATTCGAATAAACCAGTCATCGAAACAGTTATTAAAGTCTTCTTTCGTGAGACTGTCAATGGCTTGTTGTAAAGCAGTTAACATTTCGTTGTCGTCGTTCAACCGAATACCACGTAACTGATTCTTGAGCTTCGGGAATAAGAAGAAGTCACAAGGACTTAAATCTAGAGAATATGGTGGATTTGGATACTGTTCTACATGATTTTCCAGCAAAACTTTGTTCGTAATCCAAGCTCGATGCGGCCTTGCATTATCGTCATGAAAGATGAGACCTCGTGTTTCTCTTCGTTCAGATACAGCTTTGAACACTTGTGGTAAGCA